TATTTTAGTGACTATAAGTGATTATCATTCAGCTGGAACAATCTTTATTAAAGAGTGATTTTCATCGGACTGTGAATAGACTTTCCTACCCTAATAAACGCTAAGTAGACTCTACATCCATTGCTTTCGTTTACTCTGAAGTTCCGAATAATCATATAGAGCATAATAATAGTATAGAGTGGAAAAATACAAATTTACCAATAATAGTATAGATCGGAATAATAGTATAGGGTGGAAAAAACGGCAGTACTGGCAGTTTTCCCGCATTTTTTTGGCAAAACCGCTGACTTCTCCCCAGTTTCCCCTGTGATCAAATCCGCTGACCAGATGATTTGTGCTCTTAGTTTGCTGTTCGTTCGCGGTTTTGTTTTCGTTTTAGAGACAAAAAGTCTGTCTTTTTGGCAACTTTTTTCAATTTTTTTTCTCACGATATTGTTAATAACTAATTAAGGTAGGCACAGAGAAAAAAATTGTGAAAATTAATAATCGTACAGTCCCAAATAAGGCCGTATAGAGTGGAATATTTTGCCAAAATAAATAAGCGTATATATACGATTATTCGGAACTTCAGAGTACTGTATACAACTATTAGACACTATTAACACTGACTAGTAGTAATTGTTTCACAGACGGATGAAAATGACTCTAACATTGTCCTTAATTTGCAATTATTGTTAAAGGGACATTGTCAATGGATGACATGCGCAGTAACAGTCTTGCCTCTAACGGACTTTGAAAGTATTACCTTCGAGGTAAATTAATGTTTTGACACACTTTGGAATATTCTAGATCTGTTTACGTTTACGAGTAATTTTTTTGTCATGCGTCGCGCCAACTTGGAGTCGTAAACTTGAAAACACTAGCCTAATGTTTTCAAGTTTACTCGCGCATGTCATCCATTGACAGTGTCCCTTTAAGACATAAAAACATTCCCTTGTGTATTTGCTATTGTTATAGCTGTTCCAGCTGAATGAAATATAGTGACTAGTAGTCACTAAGTAA